TTAAAAGAATAAGTCAAGAATGAGGGTGTAGAGAAAAGAAGGTGATAAAATGATATTGTGAATAGGAAAGAAAAATTTATTTAAAACAACAACAAAAAATAAAAGGAAATAAATGGAACTATATAATAATTACAAGATGAAATAAGTTTTAAAAAGAATTTAGAACTAAGAAAAAAACTAAATAAAAATTATACTATGAATATATTAGGTATATTTGCAGGTCTTTTCATTATAGGACTATTTCAATATTCAGAACAATTTAATAGTGGGAGATTTGAATTCCAAAAGAATGATGAGAAAGTGTCATCAGAAATGGTTAGAGTCACAATAAATAAATACATATGCCAACAACAAGAGATTCTTCCAAAAGGAGTTGTTCTTCCATTTGAATTACCCGATATAGTATATTTATGTATTGGGATTTGTTCAATGGTTTTATTAATTATTTGTTCAAGAATAAAAAGAACAGGAATAATTCAAACAATGATGATCTTTTTAATAACAGGTATTTTATTCTTTATTTCAATGTTTGGATTTATTTTCTATTTAAATATGACAAGTAATCCAATTGTTTGTGGACCAATTAAAAATTTCATTCTTCCAACTATCCAAGTCTTTGGAGATAGCTCTATTCTTCAAAGAATAACAATTCAAGACCTACCAATTTACCAACTGCTAATTCATTATTATCCACAATCACAAAATTATCTGAGTCTTTTTATTAAGAAAGCATCTGTTATTGGATTAAATTCACCAGTTTTGTTAATGACTATAGGATTTTTCCTATTGTCAAAGAAAAGTATGAAAACTACAAGAACCACAGTTGTTTCATTAGTCACAGCAATAGTTGTTATGATGACATCAATTGACTATATCAAAGAAACACAAGACACTCTTTCATGTGTTATTTGTTCAGTGATAGTAATAATAATGGTTTTAATTATTTTTAACTCTATGGTTTCATCTGGACATTTCCTCTTATTACCAATTATTCTAGTTAACTGCTGTTCAGTTGTAATTGGAATGTATCGAGTCTTTGTAATAGAAGTGTTCATCTTATTTATGATTGTCTACGTCTTCTCTTTACTTTACATTTATTTCTGGTCAGATGGATATGCTGTAATTGCATCATCACTCGTTTTCCTTGGAATGAGCCAAATAATACCATTAAGAAGTGGTTATTTACTTGCAACTATCTTCTTATTAACAGGATTCAAAAATTAATTGATCTTTTTTTATTTAATGAAAGTTAAATGAAAGAATTTCTTTTATAAAGGAAAAATTGATATTAAAAAGAAGTAAAATTTAAAGTTCATGATATCCCAAAAAGTCATCGTTAGCTCCAAAATATTTTAATGCACCAAATGTCATAACACAAACTAATGCATAAACAAACCACCAGAATGCCCATAACATCCACAATGTTCTTCGTTCTTTAATTCTTTTTGGGCCAACTCTTGGTGTATAAACAACTGGAACATATTCTGGAGCTTCTGTTTGGAATTCTGAGTCAACAGCAACAAACCCAACATCTTTTGCTGTTTCTCCACCAACAAAAATAAACACAGTCTCTCCTCGATTCAAGTCAACACTAACATAAGTTCCTCTTGTTGAACAAGATTGATAAGAGACTGTGTGCTCTATTATACATTGATCTGGAACACTAACATCGCTAAGAACACCACAACTTTTGTAAATACCCATTCTTGTTCTTACTGAAGTAGCAGCGTTGCAAGTATTAATATGTAACTTTCCTTTAACTGTAGAAGAATATTTATACCACACTCCTTTTAAGTGATTTTGTGTTCCTTTCTTTCTTTCAAATCTTCCAAATGTTAATGAATCGATGTTATGACTTATATCTTTAGAACAAGTACTTACTGATTCAATTGCATATTTAGTAAGTGCATATTGTGTTAGTCCAGGAGTTAATAACTCTGCCCGTTGACAAGTTGAATGAGATGGAGGATTGAGTGTATAAACATTGAGTCTAAATGTACCTTCAGTGTCTATTGCTTTACTAGCTTCAGAGACATAAATATAATATTCTGCTCCTTGCTGTGCTTCAAATTTTACATATGAAGCAGAGCTACCACATTCTGGAGAATCATCATTAGATAATACACAG